CTGCCGGGGACGGCCACGCCACAGGGACCGGGGCTGCCGGAGCGGGACGATGCTGCCGGGCAGCCGGTGCCCGTCCCGGAGGCACTCCTGCATCTGGTAGGTGCTGGGCTCCCGCCGGGGACAGGGTGGCCCCAGTGGCATCCGCGCTCTCGCAGTTCTCCCGGTGCTCCCCGTCCCCGCGGCGGTGACGGACAGGCGCTGGATGGCCCTCGCTGTGTCCCTGCTCCGCGCAGCCTTTCCCATGACCCCGGGGCCAGCGGAGCAGGAGGGGGGGGCGAGGCGGCCGCAGCCAGCTTGGGGACACTGCAGGGTCACCACCCCTGTCCCTAAGTCCCCTGTCCCCCCCATGGATGCACACGGCTGCCAGGTGACTCTGGTTGAGGTGCCCCCGGGCTGCCACCAGCACGTCCCCAAGGACCAGGGCTTGGCTTCTGTGGCATTTTCTGTCCTTCGATGTCCCCTGGCTCTGTGCCATGGCTGTCCCCTCCGTGGGACACAGCACCCCCGAGCCAGGGCTGATGGAGGCTTTGGGGGTTTGGAGGACTTGGGATCACAGTGCTGAGGACAGGGTGGGGATGGGACAGGCAGGAGCTGGCCCTTCCCGGGGTCTCTGGAGCTGGGAGCTTCAGGGTAGGGGGGCCTGTCCCACCTGGGTGACATGGGACAACCTGGCTTTGCTGGCAGGGAGCTGAGAGAGGGTCCATGTGCACTGAGTTGTGCCCATTCTCAGCACTGGGTGAAGGAGGTGGCAGGGCCAGGCTGGGAGGTGACCGGTGTCACCACAGGGCCACCAAACCGGCTGAGTGGGACGATGGCAGCGAGAGCCCAGCAAACCCAGTGGTGTCCTGTGGGCCGTGCCCCCACACCTTGCCCCGTGCCAGCCTTGACTCCTCTCCCCTCACAGCTTTGACCTGGAGAATGGCCTCCAAGGCCGGGGCACGCTGGACCCCCAGGCCAGCCCGGGGCTGGTCCTGCAGGGCACCTTCTCCCATGGGCAGCGCCGCGAGTCCTTCCTGTACCGCTCCGACAGCGACTATGACCTGTCCCCCAAAGGCATGTCCCGCAACTCCTCCATCGCCAGCGACCTGTGAGTGTCCCCCCAGTTCCCTGCATCCCTCGGGACCCCACTGCCCTCCCCCAGGCTCACGCTCCCTTTGCTCCCACAGGCACGGAGAAGACATGATCGTCACGCCGTTCGCCCAGGTAGGTGCCATCCCTGTGCCCTGCCCGGGAGGGGACACGGCCTGTGCCCAGTGCCCCGGGGTGTGTCCCGGGGGGCGTCGGCCCGGCCCCAGCCCCCTCTCGCCCCCCAGGTCCTGGCCAGCCTCCGCACCGTCCGCAGCAACCTCACCCACCTCCAGGACCGCGCCGGCATCAAGTGAGTGGGCCGTGGGGTGGGGAGGGCCAGGGTCTCACCTGGGTGGGAGACCCCGACCCATGGCAAGGACGAGGGCACCGCTGTGGGGGTCCTGGTTGCTCAGCCCCCCGTGTTTCCCAGGCGAGGATCCAGCAGCAGCCTGCCCTCCGGGAGCAAGGCCAGCCTGTCTGGTGAGTGCCGGGGGGACCACGGTGGGGATGTTTTGGGGCCGTCCCTGTGCCCTCAGGGTGGGTCCCGCTGTGCCCTCGGGGGGGATACAGCCCCCTCCAGGCAGGGCAGAGCCGCGGCTTTGCCCTTTGGGATCCATGTCTGGTTTTCGGCAGCTCCTCCCGCCTGGCCGCCCTTCGCGGCGGTGGAAAAGCTCCCGTTGACGTCAAACCTTCCATTAATAAAACCCGGCGGTGA